ACAGCCGAAGTGTGTTTGTTTACATACAGAAACAGCCGAAGTGTGTTTGTTTACATACAGAAACAGCCGAAGTGTGTTTGTTTACATACAGAAACAGCCGAAGTGTGTTTGTTTACCTACAGAAACAGCTGAAGTGTGTTTGTTTACATACAGAAACAGCTGAAGTGTGTTTGTTTACCTACAGAAACGGCTGAAGTGTGTTTGTTTACCTACAGAAACAGCTGAAGTGTGTTTGTTTACCTACAGAAACAGCTGAAGGGTGTTTGTTTACGTACAGTAAAAGTGACAAAAACAAAGTTATTTTATTGCAGTGATTAATTTGACCTATATGTAGAAAATGTTACATTTACATCAGTCAGCAGCAGCATCTGATCAAGTAATCTGAAGCTGAAATTGAAAGTAGTTAAACTGAATTTTTAATGAACAAAAATTCAGTTTCAAACCATTAAATTCAGTTTGAATTTAATGAAATTTATTTTCAAACCGGTGCATTCAGTTTCTATTTATGCACATTCAGATTCAATCTGAGCGATTCATATTCCTGCTGGCACAAGATTTATTCCGTACTCCTCTTTGATCATTTAAACAGCTTGAAGCACCAAAAGAAACACATTAAGAGGATTTAAAATACAAATCAGTTTAATTTTTAAGAAGTGCTGATCTGCAGTTTGTTCTTCACATATATTTTTAACATCTCATTGGTACAAAAGTGCAATTTATTTACTGCAAAATAAACAACTTTAATAATCACAACCAACATTGTTAAAAAACTGAACCTTTAAACAAAATAAAAATATTCAGTTCAGCCGAAACAAGTCTTTTTGTTATTGTTGGAAATGAAACATCTGCTTTAAAACAGCCGACGTTTGGCTGATGTTGATGGAAGACATTTGGTTTTTATTGACATGTTTGTTTGGTCTGAAAGTGTAAACACAAATAACTTCAGGACAATAACGACACTGGAACTTCCTGTTCTGATGCGCTTCAATTTATCCCCAAAAAGTTCAGATTCAAATTAAATATTAACATTTTCTGGACCAAATGATCATCTGAGGGAGAGATAAACATGTGCAAACACGTCAGTGCAGATTATTAATCCCACAGATTAAAAAAACTAACCAGTTTGACTGATCAGGTTTATGATCTGACATCATAAAGTCTGTAAAAATCTGCTCCACGAACAGCGTTCTGTCAAAAATCATCAAACGCTTCGTTTTTAGAAAACGTTTTTAGAAAATAGATAAAGTGCTGAAGCATCGTTAAAACGCTCGTTTTATCTTTGGATCTGAGGTTCTGTTGATCAGAACCAAACAGAACCCGTCCGTTGTGACACAACAAAGACAAAAAAACAAATAAAAACAATAAAAACACTTTGATTCCTGAGCTCAGGGCAAACAGCCGCAAGAGGTGAAGACGAGCCCTGCTTTTAAAAAGGAATAATCCCAATAATTCGACCGTGTCCCAAGGGGGGGGGGGGCTTGTGGGGGGGTTCTCCGGGAGTATGGGGTACCGGGCCACTTGATACGGGCTGTCA